CCTCAGGCATTCACATATAAAAACTTTTCCTTTTGTAACTAAAGAAACTAAAAGCGCCAGTATGAAGCTATCAAACTCAGTTAATGAAACCCTTTTGCAAGAGCCACGTACTGGAAGCTTTGAGGAGACCCATTTGCTAGGACCACATATTGGACATAAATTTGAACCAATATTTAGAAATCAGAATTGCTATGTTTGACCAAAAAGAAAACTTCTATCTTCATTGTTTGATTCATTAAATCCCAACACATATCAACTACAAATTTGGAATTTTTACTAATCTTAAGCAGCTTGATTCATTAAATTACAGTGAAGAAAGCATGAAAGAGCTTTGTTGTCCTGTACCTGCTCTGCTTGTTGAGGAGTGTCAGCAAATCGGCCAGCATCATCAGCATCAACAACAGATTTCGTAAATTCCTTCTGCCAAAACACATCAGAAACTTTTGATACAAGGTCTCCATTCAACTGCCTTTCCTTAAAGAACGCCTGCAGAACGTCCTCTTCTGCAAGGTCACTCACTGCAATTAAAAAAAAATTAAAACTAAAACTAAAACCCATGACATACAAAAACTGCCAAACGAAAGCGTTTCATAAGTTACATTACATATATTTGATTAAGGGGATTACCAGGAGGTGGGCTTGTTCTTAGGGCTGAGACAGATGGATTGGGAAGTAAACGATTACGGATTGGGAGAGTTCTTGGGAAGGAGAAGCACTCAACCCTGAGAAGGGTCCCCATTTTCCCTGTGACTGTGGTCTGCGGCCGCTTCTGTGTACGGTATCAAAACTCTCTTGCTAAGGAATATCTAATGCAATGCAATGATGAGGGAAGTAGAGGGCTGCTGGATTTTGATTGGAGATAAGGTGGTGAGAGAATTCGTCCAAAATCAAAACTTTTGTGACCGAGCAGATAAGTTATCCCGTTAGATGAGAGTTTCTCTCCTCCCCTTACCCCTTACTCACCGATTCAAATCCCATGGAAAGTGCCCTCTCCACAATGCCCTTGTATAGAGGTGTCAAACAGGCGTGCTGGGCCGGCCCATCCCATTTAAATTCGTGCTTTTAACATTTTTGTGCCTGGCCGAGCCGGCTCATTTAATTTATCGGGCCGGGCCGTGCCGGCCCATTTAATAAAATCATTGATCCCGGCCCGGCCCAAAGTCCACGTCCATATTGAAAGGGGCCGGGCCGGGCTCGTGCTCGTGCCATACTCGGGCCTAAGAACCAACTCATTTAATTTGAATTTTTTTCACTTGATTTTTTTTTCCCACTAGATAATTCAAATTATAAACATGAAAAATATAATTAGAGGCAAGAAATGATGAACTATTTGAAAACATTAATTAATCAAACATCCAAACAATATGAAGGGGCGGAGGGCAAAAAGTGTCCAACTCCACAAAGTCCACTCGAACTTTTCATCTTTAAACAACTTATTATTTTATATGTGAAGAAATGTCTTGCTTTGATTATAAGAGAAGCGTATATGTCATATGTATTGGTTAGATATCAAGTCCAATGTTGTTTAATTAATTGGTAGTTGATATGTTTAATTAATTAAGGACCCAAGTAATTTCCCTAAAATGAAAGACATCAAATATATGTTTATGATTTTTT